TATTATTTTTTTTTTCACATGTGCTGAGCACGTTCCTGCTTTTTTTTCCTTATCAAATTTCATCTCATCGATCCGAGGAACGCCTGCCAGCCCAACTCGATTCCTTCCTAATGCATTTCTGGTGGAGAGAAGCGTCCTAGCAGGAGCCCAGGCGCAGAGCCCAGCCCCAGGGCCCTGCTCTGCACCCCCCAGCCCCACGCTCTGCACGCCCCAGGCTGCTGCTTTGGGATCACCCTTGCCCCAAACATCCCTCCTGAAGCAACCTCTGCGAGCTGCCGCTGTGGAAACCAAACCCCATGAGGTCCCCCCATGGGTCTCCAGCGGAAAGGGCGCAGCTCTTCAGCCCAGCTGGCTCAGCCGGGGCTTGCCAGGGCTCCCTGGCACGGGGCTGGCAGCTGGCAGGCAGGGACACGTCCTGCTCAGCACCGAAACTCGCCGAAAACCCTCGTGGCTCAGCACCTGAATCACTTCTTCCTCGTTTCGTGCCTGCCGCAGCGCGTCCGCGGCACGGGGACGGAGCCTGGCGGAGCATCCCGAGCTCAATGTCCTCGGGGCAAATGAAGCTGGAGGGGATTTCTGCTCTCACCCTCACCCCCAGCGGCCAAATCAGTGCCACGGGCAGGGCACTGTGTCCCCAGGAGCTCGGTGTCCCCGGGGACCTCGGGATGCGCAGGCTGAGGGCACTGCGTCGGCACGGAGAGCGCAGAGCCTGAAGGGCAGAGCTCATCTCCCCATCTCCCCCCCCTACATTGCGCACTAGCAGCTCATTTACTGCTCCGCTGAGACGTCTCGGCAGCCTCATCGATAGCCAGAGACAGGGCACGGGGCGAGACGGCTCCGGCGTGGGGCTGGATCCTGCTGCAGGCAGCAGAAATCGGCCTCCTGGAGCCGCCGAGCGGCCGCGCCGACGGAGGGGATGCTGCAGCAGCAGGATGGGGCCGTGGTGGCTCCCGTGCCTTCTTCTGGGAAAAAAAAATATAATAATAATAAAAAGAAAACACCCAGCACCCCCGGGCATCGCTCAGCTTTCTGCCTGATCCTCCCTAAAATATCCTGGTTTTGGTTCAAGACATCTCCTGCGCGCTTGCAGGGGCTCCCCAAAGCCCATCAGCAGGGAGGGACAACCACAATCATCATTAGCAACGTGCCCAGACCTCACAGGCTTTCTGGGCTTTCTGGATTTTAATTTATGGCCGGGTTTGAGTTGATAACCACGCTGCAGGGGCTGCAGGTGGGCTGCAAAATAAAGCAAGGAGGCTTCGGAGCATCTCCTGCAGCGGGGAGCTGGTGCGCAGCAGTGGCTGTAGGTCACTTTATTTCGTGGGGAGGAGCAGGGCTGGGATATTCACAGCTTTCGGCATCCTCTGGGATGAGGCAGCCGCTTTTAATCCCTGGGGACCCAGCGCAGGAGCCTGCAGGAGATCTTTGCTACCTGCAAGGCCTTCAGCCCAAAGCCTGTGCCCACGGAAAAGGCCAATTGCGACGTGCGAGCGGCTAATTTGTCCCCAGGGGTGCAGCCACGGAAGGAATTTTGGCTGAATAAAGCCCTTTCTGCTCTGATTAATCGTCCCCCCTGGTTATGAACAATGCCGAACAAAACAGGGATAATATTCCTGCTAGGGGAAATGGGGAGGACAGGTCACCCGAACGGGTCTAAATAGCCCGGGCTGGTCCTGAATGCATTAAAGTGGTGGAGGAAGCCCTGGGAGGAAAGAATGTCCCCTATTAGCCAAGCCCCCAGCGTCCCCACAGCCACAATAGGGGAGAGATGCCTCGCTCCGAGCTGCCTGCTGCTGCCCTGGGTTCAGTGAAATGTCAGCCCAGCACCCCCAGGCTGCAAATTACCGGAGGGCGCGCGGCTCTTTCAGCCCCACTGAACCCTATCCACGGGGAAATAATCCCAAACCCGGCTGCCTGCCACGGAGGCACGGCCCCGGCTGCGCCCTGCCCCCTTGGCAGGATGCAAAGCTTGGTTTTTAGGCACAGGGATGAAGGTTTGGGGTGGAAAGCCTTTGGGTTTGCTCCCAAATCCAGCCACGCAGGTGTGCGGAGAGGTGGCTGCGAGGTGGCCAAATGGTTGGGTTTCCTGCAGGTTTGGAGCCCCCTGGAGATCCGGGGAGGACAAAGGGAGGGTAGAGGGGGACGGGGAACCTGCTGTGGTATGTAGGATGCAGGATGTGCTCCTTTCTCAGCAAAAAACCCAGTGGCTTCATGATTTCACCACCGCCAGCACGACGCAGAGCATCCATCCCCTGCCTCTGGGCTTTATTCGCGCTGCATTTTCCCTGCGCCACCCTACGGAGAGCCCCTGCTGGAGCCCAGCCCGGCCAGGAGGAGCCCAGGGCAGGAGGCTGCAAAGCCTGCAGCAGCTCCAGCACCTTTACACGGCCACGCACACCAAGGGGCATAAAATAAGCGTGCCAGCCTTCCCCACCGTGCAGCCCGGTAATAAACCCGCACAATGCGCCGCAGCCCCGGGGCGGTTCTCAGGGGGAAAAAAGAAAAAAAAGAGGCTCCAGGCCATGGCTGAGCTCCTCAGGACACCGAAAGATGCTGGCCGGGGCGTTGATACACTTATTTTGCCATTGTTCCTGGCAAAGGAGGCGTCGTGCCTCCCTGCTGCTGGTTTTAAACTAATTACATTCCCTTCGGAGCAGGGGGGAATAAAAGGCGCTTGGCCGGCTGGGGAGCCTGGTAGCGTTTTCCAATTGCCACCAAGGCGCTGAGCTTTTAACCACAAACCCCCTGCTCACCCTGCCCCTACCTAAAGCTGCCTTCGGGCAGCGACCTCGGTGGCAGGGGACCCGCTGGAAGCAGCTGAAATGTGGTGGGAGGCTGCGCTTTGTTCCCAAATGCTGCCTTTCAGCGCGCAATCCTTCACTCCCCGGCTCCGTCTGGGGCTCCTGAGCCAAGCCCTCTCCCTGCCCTCCCCCATTGTTCTCGGCTGTTTATTTGGTTGGAATAGATGCGTTTGGAACAGATTGCTAGGAGGGTTTGGGTTTTATTTGTGTGTGTGTGTGTTTTTTTTTTCCTTTCCAGCAAGCCCTGAGCTTTCCCTTTGGTGCCGTCTGACCCCACCTCACCGCTGCGCCCTGGGTCATGGCACGAGGTGGTGCCGCACCCGCTGGTGGTGCACCCGGTGGCGTTGCACCCTGCCGTGGGGTTTTTTTAGGCTGTGCCATCCCCCGTGGGTGCAGGGCAGAGGGGCAGGTGGGATGTGACCCCCCCCTCCAGGTGCTCTCACTGCTCCGGGTGCGCGGGCACTGCCGCGGGCGCATTGCCCCCACCTCTGCAGATCCCATTGGCGAGTCCCTATGGCCCCAAATCCATCCGGGACATCCTCCAGGGGGGGTTCACAAGGAGCCAGGCAGCTCTGGAGAGCTGTTTCCAGCCGGAGAGGGAAGGGTTCATGGCGATGGCCGGGGGTACCTGCCCCACGGGGGGGGCCCCACCGCAGCATTCCCACGAGAACCAATTCCCGAGCCTCCCCCTGCCCTCCCCGCCTCTCTCCCCTGCTTAATTACTCGGCGAATGGGAAATGTTTTGGCTCGCCCTCCAAACCCCCGTCTGGCTCCTGTAGCTACAGCAGAACCCTGGGGGAGCTCTGGGGCTCCCGGCCCCTTTGCCATAGCAGCGAGCCCCCGCCGGGGACAACCATTGTGTGTGTGTCCCCCCCCCAAGGCCGGAGCACCTGGAGACCTTCTTGTAAAAACTTCATTTGCTGGGGGAAAGCTTTGATTAAAGCAGCCTGGCGGGGGGCTGCCCGGCTCCCGAGTCAATATTGGTTTTGGAGCAGATGGGGGGGGAAGGGAGAAAGAACGAGGGGCCGGGGGTCCCCATGGGGTGGGGTGGGGGGGGCGCCAAGATCAAAGTGGGGCAGCCCCGGAGAGGTGGAGCAGCCCCGCGCGCTGGAAACCTCGGGGAACAAAAGCATCAAAGTAAATCAAATGAAACTAATTGAAGAGCTTTCGCATTAAATAACGAGCGGGAGGCTTTCATGAAACGCCAGCTTCTTCCCGTCAAAATAGCCGGGGACGGGCTTCCAAGAAGAAGCCAACGCGGCGGCTCCCCCCCTTCACGACGAGGACAGAAAGCCCCAAACCCAAAATCCCCCCCACAATAGGGTGAGGAGCTCAGAAAGGAGCCTGCACCCCTAGCACGTGGCACTTTTCCCCAGCCTGTTTCATCCCCCGAGTCATCCCATATGGCCAGGGGTGCTCGGGGACACCGACACCACCGGGACCCTGCAGGAGCACCCCTGAGGGTCCCCATGGGCAGGGGGGGCAGCTCACGTCGCCCCTAGTCACCCAGCTCTGTTCTCCGTGCTCCTCTGTTAGGCTGGGGCTATAAAATCGGGTTTTTGTCCCATTATAGCCCCGTTTGGGCTTCGGGTGCGGGTTGTGCGGGACCTGCGTGCCTCGGGCTTGGCACCTTGGGGTTCGGGATGGGATGGGGAATGATGTGGGGTGCAGAGAGGGGTGAAGGCTGGAGGTCCCAGAGGATCTCTCAGCTCTCCAAGATCCTCCTGGCCTTTGGGGAAGCTTTGTAAGGCTCGGGGAGGGCTGGCACCCGCGGGGACCTGGGGTGCTCCCAGGGATGAGCGCAGCAGCCGGCACCACCGCGCGCTCCTGGGGATGAAGGACAGGAGGTGCTGAGCCCAACTGGGGGGGAGCAGAGCAGAGGGCTCCTCGGGAGGACCTCGCACGGTGCCTGGTTTATTATTTTTTGGCTGCCTCTCGCCAAGGAGGCCACCAACAGCAGCCTTTGGAGGAGGGTTTTGGGGTTACGCTTTCACAAGCGCCCTCAGTGCGGCGCGCGGTGGCTTCTCCACCCCACAACGAAACGGGGTGGGCTGTGGGGCTCCAAACACCATCCCCACACCCTGCTCAACCCAGCTCGGCCCCGAGCACCCCGCTACCCCTTCGGAGCCACCGCCAGCCCCTTGCCCTGGGAAAGGAAGGGAGGGAGAAGCGGGGCCGGGCTCGTCCTCGTTAGCCGCCGGCTAGAGCGGGCTGTGGCCACGATGAAAGCGAGCCACATGAAGACAATTAGGCTAAATTATGTCCAGTCGCAGCAGACGAGCTAACAGTGCAAGGGGAGGCAGGCCGACTCCAGCCAGGCTCGATGTCTGCCTTGCCCCGCGGCTGCCACTCATACATCACCGATCAAGGGAAGCCCCCGCAGGTTGTTTTAAACCGGGGCCAGCGGGAGGTTGGGCTAATGAGTAAAATCTGAGCATTCCTCAAATTTCCCATCCGTCCCGGGGCGAGGGGAGGGTGGGCGAAGGGGGATGGGGACCGGGTGGCTCTCCGCGGAGAGAGGGGAGATGCTCGGGGAGGGATGGAACTGCTGATCCCCAAGCACCTGGAGGTGGGGATGGCCTGGAGAAGGGGATCCATCGGCTCCCTCACCACGAGCATCCTTCCTGCAACGTGAAATGTGCCTGGGGAGGGGGATTAAGGGGTCGTATGGGAGCCGTGCCCTCGGTGGCAGCGGGTTTAAGGGGCTGGGCATCCTCCTTTGGGGAGCCCCAGTGGGCACAAGGGATGCTCGGGGCAATTTTGGGGTTCTCAGCCTGCCCCAGCCCCGGTTATTGCAGGCAGCTCCCCCCCCAGCCTGCTCAAGGCTCAGCCTCGTCCCTACCCAGGCCAATAAATGAACCTCGCCCACCTCTCCGAGGTCTTTCTAAGGGGGGTGCGGAGGAGGGGGAAGGTAATTAAAGGACATCAAAGGGAGGGCAGGAAGAAAAAAGGGCATTTTGAAGAGGGCAGGAGGGGGAAAACGGCCATTCCTGATCGATACAATCACGGCACTTCGGGGTTTCGTGTGCTTGGGCAGGACCCCAGCACGGGGGATCCTTGGGTTTTGTCTCTCCAGCACTGAGCCAAATCGCCACCAGCTCCCCTCCTTTGGTGTCCCTGCAGGGTTTTGATGGCAAAGGTGAATTTTGGCTTTGGAAGAGCCCTCGGGAGCTGGGTTGGCTGCTGCTGAGGCTGTTAACGGGGAGGAGCGATGTGGGGCAGCGCAGGAGGAGAAGCAAAGCCCCAGGACCGGGTGCGAACCCACTTGGGGCTGCACCTCAGGGCAGGCTGGAGGGGCGCACTTCTCCTTCAAGCTATAAATCCATGAAATTAAACAGGAGCAAAAAAAAAAAAATGCAATTAGAAGGAAGAAAAGGCCGGGAATTAATCACTAATAAACTTTTACCCTTTCTCTTGGCTAATGAAACCAGCATCTGGTCCCTATCCCGAGGACAAGCCGCCTCCCCGGGCTCGCTTCCTCGCCCTCTCCGCCCCGCTCCCTCCCTCGGCTGCTCTTCTGCGCGCCCCCGTCTCCGTCGCTCTCTCTCCCCGGGCTTTTAATTACGTTCATCTATTTCCACTCACTAGGTCTGTCACTTTGCAGCGGGGCTGCTGTAATTATGCTGTGGGAAGCACCGCTCACTTCGCCGCAGCCTGAGCGGATTAAGGATCCTCCGCGCCGTTTCCCACCCCTCTCTGCCAGGTACCTGCCCGGGGATGACAGATGGTCAGGGGCCATTTATTTCCCCTAATGAGCCTGGTACAAAAGGAGATGGCTCCCAAAACACATGTATATTTTCAGCAAACTTTAAAAAAAAAATAAAAAAAGCCTCCTGGCTCCCAGGGGTGGAGATGGGGAGGGTCCGAGCCCAGGCGAGGAAAGCGTGCCAGGAGAAATTTGGGGCTCGGGGGCTCTGCAGGCTCCGGGAAATGTTCTGGGAAAGGCTCTGCAGCTTGGGAAATGGGGCAGGAGACTTTAAACACACTGTAGCTCCTCTCAGCTCGGCCACAGGCCAGCAGGAGCCAACAGAAACACGAGGCTTCGGCCGGCGTGGATGAGAGGGGGCTGGCGGTGGGCACCGGTGGCTGCTGAGGGATGAAGATAATTCCAGGACTAAGCACGTGCGGGGATTACAGTGGGAAAGGGGAGCAGGGCTGCAGCCTGAGCTGATGCAAAGCGCCAGAGCTTCGAAGGATGCGCGCGGATTAATGCCAGCTGCAGGCTTAGCCACACGACCGGATTCACTTTGACCCTCCCCAAAAGTGCCATTAGTGCTGGAGATGCAGGTACAGCCGCTCAGCATCCCCCGAGGCCCAGCAGGGAAGGCAGGCACCGGCTTCCAGGACTCGATTTCCACCCACAAATTGTTTTTTGGGACGAGAGCTTCCCTGCACCCACGCATCTTTGGCCACGGTGCCAAGTGGAGCGCACGGTGCGGCTCCCAGGGGCAGCCCCGGAGCACCCACCTCCAGCCTGTCTCCTCTGGGTACCCAAAAGCGAAAAAATAAAAATAAAAACAAAGTCCTGAGCCTTGAGACAAAGCCTCGAGCCTGGGATTTGCAGCATCTGCTCGAGGTGGCACCTGCAGGAGGGGCACAGCCCCGAGCCAACGAGGCCGTCCCGGAGACGAAGCGCTGCTAAACCCGAGGGTCCCGCCCCGTGCTGCTAATTAAACATCCCACAGCAGTCGGAGCGAAAGCCAGGCAAGTCTCCTGGCCTCCTCCAGCCCCAGGTAATTATTTTCAGCCCCTCGACCCCACGGCCGTGGCAGCTGGGACACGACACGGTGCGTGCCGGGGCCACGCAGCCACTGCTGGGGGGGGACCCCCGGAGCGAGATAAAAGGTGAGCCGGGGGCACCGGGCGCCCGGCCCCGCTGCCAGCTCATTAAAAGCCAGCGTTCGCAGGTCCCCCCTTTTAAACTGTTTATCCATTATTGAAAATCCCATATGTTACGTGTCCAGGAAGATCAGCTTTCAGCCGCGAGATAAGCTGCCTCCATTTATTGTTCTTCCCTCTCGCCCTCCTCCCTCCCCCTGGGCTTTTAATTACATCCATCACCTCCCACCCCTCCGGTGGAGCTGGCTGCGTGTCTCACCAGCCCAGCAAGGGAACAAGGCCCTTTTTTTTTTATTATTTTTTTTTTCCCCTCTCGGATTCAGCAATTGTTTCGCTTCCCAAGTCCTAGCGCGAGAGGCGTTTAGCAGCCGCTGTGAAATTTCAGCCAGGATTGGAATTTATTTTAAGACGCCGGCCTTTAAATTTTTCATTAAACCTTTTTCCCCCTGCGATGCAGCAGGCTGCTGCGGGGAACCGGAGGGGGGGAACGGGGCATTTGCATGCCCAGCACGTCGGGAAGGGAAGGAGGATTTCTCCTGGGCAAAAACCTTTGGGCACACGCGCCCCGTGCCTGGCTGGAGCAGGGCTGCCCGGTGGGAGCGAGCCCCGGGGGCTCCCTTTGCTCAGGGTGGGCTTCCAAGGACGAGCATCCCCGCAGGGTCCCGGGCACGCTGCCCGCTGTAGGGCTGGCTGGAAGCATCCTGCCAGCAGCCCTCAGGTTTTTCTGCTCGCAGCTCTGCCAGACTTGAAGCTCCCAAGCTGCGATTTCCCGTGCCGGGTGCCTGCTCCTGCAGGGAAGGCGATGCCTGGAGCCAAGCCGGAGGGCACGGAGCTGCCTCGGGGAGATCTGCCTCTTTTCCCCCCACGTGCCCTGCTTGTCTTTTCCATCCAGCTCCTGCAGTTTGCCCAGCGGGCGCTCTGCAAACATCCACCGAGCAGCGGGGATATCCTGGATTTCAGCACCCCAAAAATTGCTGGGACGGAGCTGCCCATGCGCGCTGAGCGCAGCATTTCCCTCCCTAACCAAGGGCCCTCTCTGTGCCACGCGATAATTTTCTATCACAGCTCCTAACCCCCTGCTAGAAAGGCTCTAGCACAGCTTTGCTCGCTGTCAGCTCCGCGTTCCCACCAGATTACAAAGCCAGGAATTTCCCCTGCAAAGCCCATCCTCGGCCAGGGTCCCGTGCGCCCCGGTGCCACGCCGCAGCTCCGAGGACAGCTTCTCACCCCCAAAAAAACGAGGGATTTGCCCTCACCCGAGCGCACGGGGAGGTTTCTGCAAGGCAGCAGGTTTCAGCTCAAGCTGCCGCCGCGTTTCGCGTGCAGCACTGAGGTGTCTCATTAATTTATTAATTATTCACCGAGCGCCAGACGGGCGCACGGGAGATCAGACAGGGCTTGCTGGCTCCCAGCAAGCGCCCTGACTCCCCTGATGTCAGGACTTGCTCTTCAGTCACAGACACGTTGTCACCGGCCACCTGCATGTGACAGGACAATCTTCGTTAAGATCCCAATTAGCAGATAATAAGGTCGGCACCAAACCGGATCCTCCCGAGCCAGCCTGGCACCCGCTCTCCTTTCATTTCATTCCCCTCCACCCCTTGTTAAATAAAATGATCCCTGAAGAAACTTCGGGGTAAGAAGCAGCTCAGGTGAGCGGGGAGGGAGCAGAGGAGGGATGGATGGAGCAGAAGGGGGGCTGGTGGGACCCCTGCCCTATGGCACAGCCCCCATTGAGGGGTTTGTCCCTGCCCCAAGCCCACGGTGCCGGGAAGATCACCAGGGATGGGGATGAAGAAGGTCATTTAAGGGCCCCCATGGGGCGAAGCAGTTCCCCTTTCATCACTTGCTCCTGGTTGTCATAAAGGCTGATAAAGGAGAGCGAACAGGCCGGGCAGCCGCTCCGCCAGCCCCTTTCATCTCGGGGATGCAAATCCGGGAGCCGCCTCCCCGCTCACCCAGCCGGGGCATGGGAAGGGCAGAGGAACCTGCAGGGACAGATAATTTGGGCAAGCAGGAAAACCTCGGCGTGCTCTGCAGGGGACAACAGAGGAGCTGGTGGCACGAAGGCACGGGGAGCTGGGGACACCACAGCCCTGAGCCATGCACGTGGCACCGCCAGGGGCTTGGCTGCGGATGCTTTCTGCTCAAAATCTTCACCTGGCAACCCTCAGACAGGTTTTCAGGGGTCAATATTCTCCTACAGGCACTCAGAGCAGCTTCCAGGGGTCAGCACTCGAGCACCGTGCTGCTCTTCTCCCCCCCCACCAGCTCGGAGATGCGGGGATGTTTCCACGTTGTCCATGCAAGCTGGAAAAAATTTATCCTTGGAAAAGCCTCCCTGGGACCTGTCTTAATTGGGTAGGAGGGGTCCTGTCCTTCCTACCCAAATAAGACAATTTTTTGCCCACCGGGCTCTCCAGCAGCCCAAACCCTGCTGAGCCCAACCCTGGGCTCCCTCCTCCTCCTCCTCTTCCTCTCCTTGCAGGTTGCCGCACGCGCTCCTGCGCTTGCCAGGACACCTGGAGAGATGGGCACGCTGGCAAAATCCTCACCAAAAAGCAAGAAACGGGGCTTCTGCGTAAACAGAAAATTGGGATTCCTACGGAATGCAGAACAAACAAGCAGGGAAATTATTAACAAGCCGGATTTTTTTATTATTATTATTATTTTTTCTCCCCAAATATTTATTTCAGCGATCAAACGAAACCTTCCAGCCCTTCGGGGACGCAAGCAGCCCTTGGTGCGGGTGCTGGTCAGGGCTCCCAATGCCTCAGTGCACGGCTTTAAAGGCATTTCTGCGCTCTTGGGGATTAGTGACCCATTCTAACAGGTCCCCATTGACCGGGAGCGTGGGTCTCTCAAAGAGTCCATTGGATGCAGCTTACAAAAGACTTTAGCCGGAGACGAAGAGTTGACAAAAAAGTTTGTAGGAAACCGTGGAGTCCTTTTAAAAGAGAATAAACTGCCACTGCTGTGTCTGGGCCGAGTTAATCTGATTAGGCCAAGCTCATCAACAGCCCCGCTGAAAGGAGCGAGGCGGGGGGAGAGCAGGCTGGGGACAGCCCCGGAGGAAAAGCGGGCACCTTTTTAGCAGGGAAGTCAAACAAAACCCATTGTGGCCGAGCACGCCTGCCTACAGATGGCACAATGACAAATCTCTGCACGGGCAGAGCAAATATCACGGATGGCTTGGTGGTGGCGGTGCTGTCCTTGTTTCCCCAGGTATGGGAACGGACACCATGAGATTTAGGGAAACCAAAATGAAAGGGGCCACAAATACCACGGATAATGGGCCTGGCTGGCGGGGTGGCACAGGCCCGGGAAGTTCAACTTCTCTGCATTAAACCTGGAAGAATAGGAAGCCCAAACGCACATCATTTACGGTCCCAGGTCCCTTAGGGTAGCTCTGGTGGGCAGCGCTGCAGGCCCCGTGCCCGTGCTCCATCGCCACCTGGTCCCAGCTGCCCCGGGCAGCGCAGAGGCACCGAGGGTTTGCAGCCAGCTCCTTACAAACCCAGCTTCTGATGCTGCTCAGAGCTGTAAAACCTCCAGCCAGCAGTGCAGTGATGCATGGAAGTCAATGCACTTGTGCAATGCACTTGCACGATGCACTTGCACGATGCATTTGCACGATGCTCTTGCACTATGCACTTGCAAGATGTGCTTGTACAATGCACTTGCATGGTGCTCTTCCACAATGGCAATTTTGGCTTTGCCAAAACCCAAATTAAATGTCCCATCGCAAAGTTACACCACCACCATCACCTTCCCAGGAGACGTTTTAGGCTCTAGATTTGGAGCAGCCAGCGCTGTGCCGGGGCTCACCGTGGGCAGCTCCTCAGCCCGTATAATTAAGAACAGTATCAGCGGAAGGCATGTAAGGAGATTTTCTCCCCAAGGCCACCTAATACAGATGTAATTGACTCTATTTTCTGCTTTCTGCACACGGATTGCCGCGGCTCAGCCCCTATTATCCGCCGACAAATGAACAGGACCCCGCTGAAAGGGACCTCTCCAGCCCGCGCCGGGCGCACAGAATGGAGCGCCGGGGCTGTGTTAAATCTGGACACGACGCGGCTCCGCTCCCCCCCTTTTCATCTCCGCCGCCTTTTCAAGATGTTTTCCAGCGGAGGGTAAGTCAGCAAATCTCCGTGCTCGGGCGGAGCGCTGGCACTTGCTGGAGAAGGGAACATCTGTCTCCATCAGCTGGGCTCTTGTGCCGCCGCCGCCGCTGCGCTCCCGAAACCGGGGCGAAGCCCGCAGGAAGGATTTTTTGTGTTTTTTTTTGCCAGCACGCTTGCAATTTCCTTTTGCAAAAATTTCCAAGGGCGGGGAAGGAGGAAGGGAGGCGAGAAAAGAAATTAAAACCCATTTTTGCCTGGCGGTGAAAAGAGGCCCGGGGAAAAAAAAAATCTCCATTTCTAAGGCTGCAAAAATCCCCGCCGCTGCCTTCCCCCCCGAAGGATGTCCTCACCAGCAGCAGGCACGGGGCTTAATGGTTAAAATCATCGTTAATTTTCTCAGAAATATCCTTGCTTAGAGCTGGGAGAGCCCCAGCTTCTCCTCGGAGCAGGAGCTGCGCATGGCGAGCGGCGGACACAAATTAAAGGTTTCCCCCGTTCCCTTTTTGGGGCTGTTTGGGGGGATTTGGCGAATCCTCCGAGCCCCGGTAATTAATTTCGGCTGAGCTGCGGAGGGACAAAAGAGGCCGGGCAGGGTTTGAAAAGGCTGCTGGGGGGCAGCAGGCTGCAATTTGTTACACATTAGGGGCTTGCCAGAGGACTCCCCCGCGCCCCGCCGGCCCTAAACGTCTTCATCTCCCCTCTGCCCCGCTACCCACAGCCCTGTAGGACAGGGGGACGATGGCGGGGGATAAATCGGGGGGAAATCCAGCAGGATTAGAGCCCGAGCCCTGGGCAAACAGGAGCTGGAGGGGTGGCCCCCAGCCCCAGCTGGCCGCCCCGACAATGCCCTGCGCAAACGGGGCCGGGGCCGCACGCGGGAGACAAAAACCTGCATTCAGCCCCCCCGCCATCCGGGGGCCTTTTATGAGCTTTTTTTTTTTTTTTCCTTCCTTTTCCTTTTCCTTTTTTGAGCCGGGCTTGGAGATTCGAGGAGCCGGGCTGTAATAAAGTCGGGTTTAGGGATCAAAGGGGGCCGGAGATCCCGCGAGCATCCAGGCTGCGAGCGCTGTGTCCTCCTCTGCCCCCACCCAACATGAATATTAGGGCTAATCACCCACCCCACAACGCCTGTGTAGGGTGGAAGGAGCCTGTAAGCTGCTTTTTTTCTATTTATTTTCTAATACGTGTATGAACATGATGGATTTGGGAGGGATCAAGGTTAAACCTACAGGCCGTGCCCCGGGGAGGGATCTCGGGGACTTTTCACCCCAGCTTTCGGATGGAAAATCCCCGCTCTCCATCCCGAGATGCTTTCAAAAATCCTGCCCTCTGCAAGCCACCGGAGCATGCACCGTGCTGCAAGGCCAGCAAAAGGCTGAGCCAGGGCCTCGTTTCCCCCCCCCAGACCCTAATTAAGGAGCAGCCCCAGCTGCTCCCAGCACCGGGTCACGTTATTGCCCCCAATAGTCAGGGGATGAGGAACGCAGCTCCCAAACAGCTTCCTCCCCGTTCCGGGAGGCTTTTGCAATCAACCTTTGGCTCCAATTTGTAACCACGACTTTATCTACAGGCCGGCTTCGGTAGGAACAAGAGGTGGTGCAAGGCAAGAAAACATCCCAAAACACCATTCCTGGGGCAGGGCCAGCTCCTGGCTCCTTCCAAAGGTGCTTTCGGACCCGAGAGGCTCCCCCAGGTCTCGCTGAGCACGTTTGAAGCCTGAAGATTTTGGGAATTTGAGGAAAAAGGCATCGTGGCAGGGGTACAGCATGACAAAAATGCTCCTAAGGTGTCACCTGGAGAAGGATTCACCACTCCCGGCCTGGGGGTTGCACCACTGGGTGTGGATTCTGTTGGAAAACCACTCGTTTCGTGTTATTTTTTTAATTGCAATCATGCCATTAATGCATCAGCCAGGAGCTGTGGTTGCGTGCACCTTGGATGGAGGAGCCCGAAATAAACGCGTTCCCCTGCAGCTTTGCTGTCTACAGGAGGACGAGCAGCGAGGAGTGCAGTGATTGCAGGGGTTTTTGTGTGGTTTAACGTGAGAGCAGGCGATGCTGCTGCCCCTGCGTGGAACGGGTGGGAAAGGGATGGAGCTGGTGCAAAACAGGAGGGGGCTGGTAGGAAAGAGGGGTGGAAGTGGTAGGAAAAGGGATGGAAGCGTAGGAAAAAGGGATGGAAGTGGCATAAAAAAGGGATGGAAGTGGCATAAGAAAGGAATGGAAGTGGTATAGAAAAAGGGATGGAAATGGTATTAAAAATGGGTTGAAATGTTTTTTTTTTTTTTTAAAAAGAGACAGAACTGGCGTAAAAAGGAGATGGAAATGGTATAAAAAGGTGGATGGAAGTGGCATAGAAAAGGGATGCAACTGGCATAAAAAATGGATGAAAATGGTATAAAAAATATGGAACTGGCATAAAAAAGGATGAAAGTGGCAGAAAAAGCACCAGTGGGTGCCCTGTGCCCGTTACCCATTGCATGGTACTCAGTGCATGGTGCTCTTCACCTATTGCACGTTGCCCATTGCACAGTGCTCATTACCCCTTGCACAGTGCATGGTGCTCATTACCTATTGCACATTGCCCACTGCACGATGCTCATTGCCCCTTGCATGGTGCACATTACCTATTGCGCAGTGCCCATTACCCCTTGCATGGTGCTCAGTGCTTATTACTCCTTGCACAGTGCATGTTGCCATTGCACGATGCTCACTGCCCATTGCACGGTGCCCGTTACCCATTGCACGGTGTTCATTATCCTTGCATGGTGCCCGTCACCCCTTGCACGGTGCATGTTACCCTTGCACACTGCTTGTTACCCTTGCATGCCGCTCATTACCCTTGCATGGTGCCCATTACCCCTTGCATGGCGCATGTTACCCTTGCACGCTGCTCATTACCCATTGCACAGTGCCTGTTACCCCTTGCACGGTGCATGTTACCCTTGCACAGTGCTTGTTACCCCTTCCATGGTGCATGTTGCCCATTGCATGCTGCTTGTTACCCATTGCACAGTGCTTGTTACCCTTGCACGGTGCCCATTACCCATTGCACGCTGCTCATTACCCCTAGCACGGTGCATTTTACCCTTGCACGGTGCATTTTACCCTTGCACGGTGCATATTACCCTTGCACGCTGCTCATTACCCTTGCACAGTGCACGTTACCCTTGCACGGTGCATTTTGTCCTTGCACGGTGCATATTACCCATTGCACGGTGCATGTTACCCATTGCACGGTGCATATCACCCCTTGCCCGCTGCCCGTTCCCCTTTCCCGCCGCCCGCTGCTCGCTGCACGGCGCCCGGCGCGCGCCCCGCTGGGCGTGGCCTCCCCCCGCGGGCTGCCGGGCGCGGGGCGGCACGTGCTCCGGGCGCCGGGCGGCCAAGGGCGGGGCCGAGCGCCTCCCGCCTGATTGACAGCCGGGCTCCCCGCCAGCCAATCAGCAGGCGCCTCCTCCGCCCGCCCGCCTCCGATTGGCCGCCCGCCGCCCGCCGCCGCCTGCCCCTCGTGGCCCCCGCGCGCGCCGGGCGGCCTCCCGCCAAAGGGCGGGGCGCGGCGCGGAGCGCGCGAGCCAGGGGGCGGGCGGCGCGCGCGCGCGCGCGTGACGCCCCGGCCGACCAATCGCAGCGCCCGCTGCCGAGCGGCGGGGGGGGGGGGCGGGCGGGGGAGGCGATCCGCGCTCTGATTGGTCGGCGGCGCTGTGGGAACGGCCGCGGCGGCGGTTTCCCACGAATGGGGAGCGGGCGGCGGGTATAAAAGGCGGGGGGGGAGCCGGGAGCCGCCACTCCCGGCCCCGCCGCTGCCGCCGCCGGAGCTCCGCGGTGCCTCCGCCGCCCGCAGCGCCATGCCCGCAGACACGGGCCCGGAGAAGCCCACCGCCTCGCCCATCGCCGGGGCTCCGGCCACCGCTAGCCACACGCCGGACAAGCCCCGGAGCGCCAGCGAGCACCGCAAGGTAAATGGCGGGGCCCGGCCGGCGCGCAGCGGAGGTGGATGGCGGCGAGCAGGCGGCCGTGCTGAGGTCGGTGCATGGGGAGGGGGGCGAACGGCGTGAAAAATTAATTAATTAGGGGGTTAGGGAAGGGTTCGGCCACCAACCGAGGCTCTCCCCGCAGTCCTCCAAGCCCATCATGGAGAAGCGGCGCCGGGCGCGCATCAACGAGAGCCTGGGGCAGCTGAAGACGCTGATCCTGGACGCGCTGAAAAAAGACGTGAGTTTGGGGCTTTTTGGGGTGAAAACGCGGGATCTGAAGGGTTTGGGGGTGAGGAGGACAAGGGGGCTGACGGCTGGTGTCGTCCCGCAGAGCTCGCGGCACTCCAAGCTGGAGAAGGCGGACATCCTGGAGATGACGGTGAAGCACCTGCGGAACCTGCAGCGGGCGCAGATGACGGGTGAGCACCGAGCATCCCTCCCATCCCCTTTTATTTAGGGAAAAAAAATCCCTTTTTAGGGTTTTCCGATGGAGCTGGGTGGCTGTTCGCACCCTGCAGCCGCTCACCGAGCCGCCCCCCTTTTTTTTTTTGCAGCCGCCCTCAGCGCCGACCCCACGGTGCTGGGCAAATACCGGGCTGGTTTCAACGAGTGCATGAACGAGGTGACCCGGTTCCTCTCCACCTGCGAGGGGGTCAACGCCGACGTCCGTACCCGCCTGCTCGGCCACCTCTCGGCTTGCTTGGGGCAGATCGTGGCCATGAATTACCCCCCACCACCTCCTCCTCCTCCGCCGCCCGCCGGGCAGCCGGCGCATCTGGCACAGCCTCTGCACGTCCAGCTGCCACCCGCCGCCGGAGCCGTGCCCGTGCCCTGCAAGATGAACCCCGCCGAAGCCTTGTCCCCTAAGGTTTATGGGGGTTTCCAGCTCGTCCCGGCCACCGATGGTCAATTCGCCTTCCTCATCCCCAACCCAGCCTTCCCACCCGGCTCCGGACCCGTGATCCCGCTCTACGCCAACGCCAACGTCCCCGTGTCTACGGGAGGAGGAGGATCGGGGAATGCATCCGCCACCCCGTCGGCATCCCCGGTGCAGGGCTTGACATCATTTGGGGGCAGCATTGTGCCGGCGTCCCAGGCGGGGAGCCCCGTGGCAGAGCGCAGCGAATCCGTCTGGAGGCCTTGGTGACTTGCCCAGAGCAAAAAAAAAAAAAATAATTATAAAAGGCACGGAACTCCGCTTGGCTCCGTTGTATGGAGCCCTGTTATGCTCGGGTTTTTCTTTTTTTTTTAAAAAAAAAACATAAAACAGAATGGAGGATTTAAAAAAAAAAGGACCTCGATATGAAATATGAACGTGCTATTTATTATTTTCAGAGGTTGGGATCTCGACTTGTATTTTTACTCCTTTGAAATGCCTTTATTTGAGATAAGTTTTTTAAGAAAAAAAAAAAAGAAATAAATGAGAAATAGTTTTGTAACAAATATTCGAGAAGTATAATGCCAAAGTTGTTTGTACCCCGTTTGTCTGTGTGTGTGTTGCGTGCCTGTGTTGGAGACTTCCAAAAAAAAGAGAAAAAAAATGCAGGTGTTTAAATAAACTCTTTGAAATAGATTTTTTTCCTCCTTTTCATTTAGCAGGGACAAAGCTAATCCTCAGGAGGGGGGGAAAAAGAAGTAGGAGCAAACTTTATGGCCTTAAGTAAGGCTGTTGGAAGGGATTCCTGCAAGAGATAGAGGGGAGGGAATGGGGGTGGGGGTCTGGCCCTGCTGAAATAGCACAAAAAAAAAAAACACAATTCCTAAAACTCTGCCCCCGGAACCTGAGCAATGTACGACCCCAATACCCCTCACTGAAATAACTCTGCTTTTAGGATTTTTTTCTGCTTTTGGGGTTTCGCTCCCGTTACCTCTTTTTAGAGCTTTTGGGGGGGGGGGGTGCGCAGAAGTTACTATCCTGCCCACAAAAGAGGCAGGAGAGTCTGTCCCCATTGTGAGGAGGGTAATTAGAAGGTATAAAGGGTCTCATCGAGTATGCAGCGGGCTCTTTGGGAAGTTGGGAACCCTATTGAAACGCCTGGGAACTCGGAGCTGAGGGTTAATGTGTGTCTTTTTTTTTCTCTCCACTCTCATTGACAGGGCCAGATAGACTCTGATACTCAATGCTGTTGTAAATTCAATTGCCTGGCCTCACAATGCCCACCTCATAAAAGAGAATAACTCGGGGTTGTGGCTTTTTTCTCCTTTTTTTTTTTTTCCAGTAAGCAAGGGAACCGAGGAAAAGACAGTTTTGCCACCCATTCTGACTCACCCCCGGCACTTGAATCCCGGCCAAGTGGAAGCAATTGCAGCCTCGCGCGCGGGGAATTAACCGCTTCCAATTGGCACCAATTAATAAGGTGCGGAGAAAGCACCTCGTTTCGTTACTTTTAGGGTTTTTTGCTCCCCATCGATGAGGATATTGTGATTTTGTGGAGAAAAATCCAGCAGGTGACGTGCGTGGAGCCCCCCGTGCCCGGTTTCTCTCCATCCCCTGCGACCCCACGGGTGGGGGGCGATGCTCGAGACCCCCCTCGGGTTTTTCTTGGCTCTTGGGGAATGTCTCGATGCTTGTAAAACAGCCCAAAATTGCACAAACCTAAGGTTCAAACCTGTTATTTTTAATTATTATTATTATTTATTTTTAGGATGCCAATTTTTAGGGTGTCGGGAGGTCTGGGGGCTGGCAGCGATGGGGCTGGGGTTTATTCGGGGTGGGTTACGGGGTCTTGTAGGGCAGCCTGCCTGCTTCTGCTGACCCCTTTGCACCTTGCAGGAGATTTTTGGCTGGGTTTTGGAGCGGGAACACGGGGGGCAAAGAACCTGGTGCCGATCAAACCCCCCCTTCCGTGCGCTCCTACGCCTGGGCCACCGCTCGGCGCCCGCTGCCCTGCCTCCACCTCCCCGTCACGAGGAGGAACCCGGCCGAACCCGGAGGTTCCCGAGAGGTTTTCTTATGCAATCCCCGGCACAAAATCACGTTATCCCCCGCGGCCCTTCGCCACCCCTCCTCTTCTGCCGGAGGAAGGCTCGGAGGAGCCGACGAAAGCCTGCCCGTAACCAAAAACCTCCCCGGGGGCTCTGGACGCAGCCCCTCAATGCCCTCTGGATCCCACCCTGCAAATTTCTTTTAGGCCAAGCTGCCGAGCTCCTGCATTGAAAAAAAAAAAAAGATAATAAAAAAATAAAAAAATATTTTTTTCCTATTTTTCTGTGCATTGCTGCAGCCCTACAAATGCAACACGTGCCTCGGGGACGCGGCGCTGCTCCAAAATGATGCCCTGGGAGCAGGGACCCCGTGGTCAGCGCCCTGATTTTCTGCCCGGTGCTGCCACATGCCATTATTTTTTTTACCTTTTTCCTTTTATTTTTTTTTTTCTCTTTGGCCTTGGGCAAGTCACGGACCTCTCCGTGCCTGGCTTGTGCGGTGCAGGAGGTGGACACGAGGTGAATGACACCAATAAAAACGCGTGCCAGGAGCTCAAAATCCTGCAGCGAGGGGTTTTGTTTGCCCGGAGCACCAAAATGGGCAGAAACCTTAAAATTTAGGTGCACCCAGACCCTACATTTCCGCATCCCCCTTGGGCTCCACCGCTCCATCCATCCCCAACGGGGGGGATGCCGCGCTCCTTCGAGCCTCCCCGCGTAGCTCTTTGTAATTGTTTTATTTGTATTTTGTTTTTTTCGGGTGCTGAACCTGGCCTTATCCCTTTAGAGCGGCAATAAAAGAGCAAAGTGTGCTGCTGCTGCTGGAGGGTGAAAGTCCAAAGGGGCGGCCGGGAGGGAAGGGAAGGGAAGGGAAGGGAAGGGAAGGGAAGGGAAGGGAAGGGAAGGGAAGGGAAGGGAAGGGAAGCGAAGGGAAGCGAAGAGAAGCGAAGAGAAGCGAAGAGAAGCGAAGAGAAGCGAAGAGAAGCGAAGAGAAGCGAAGAGAAGAGAAGAGAAGAGAGAGAAGAGAAGAGAAGAGAAGAGAAGAGAAGAGAAGAGAAGAGAAGAGAAGAGAAGAGAGAAGAGAAGAGAGAAGAGAAGAGAAGAGAAGAGAAGAGATTTTTTATTTTAAAAATAAATATAAAATAAAAAAATAGAATAAAATGAACTATAAATAGAGTAAAATGAACTATAAATACAGTAAAACTATAAAATAAGATAAGATAAGATAAAATAAAATAAAATAAAATAAAATAAAATAAAATAAAATAAAATAAATAAAATAAAATAAAATAAAATATAGGACCCAACCCAACCCACCCAAACCAAACCAGAGCAAACCAAAGCAAACCCAGCCCCCAACCTCCCCCCCCCCAAGCCCATCGGGGGGGGGGGGGGGGAGGCAGCCACCCAGCAGCAGGCCTGGCACGGTGCCTCCCCGTGTCCCCTTGTGTCCCCTTGTGTCCCCTTTGTCCCCTGGTGTCCCCTGGTGTCCCCTGGTGTCCCCTGGTGTCCCCGGATACCCCCCAGCCACGCGTGGCCGCCCGCTTCCCACGGCAGCGAGCTGCCGGGGCTGTTAAGGTGATGGATTGAAATGAAGTCCCTCCGGAGCAGCGGCGTGCTCGGCGGGGTCGGGGTCACGGCACCGAGCCGCTTAATCAGAGCTCGGCAGCCAGCCCCTCGGAGCGGGGCCTCGGCGCCGAATTTCTGCTGCGCTATCTCGCCCCGGCAGCGCATCCATCACCCCGCAGCAAAACCCTCGCCGCCAGCTCAGGTGGGCTTCCCGCGATGGAAAACACGAGGAAAAAAATAAAATGGTAATGGTAAGAACTCAGCCCGCTAGGAAAAATTATAATAATGATGATAACTCGGCCCCAGCTCCACGCTGCTGCCCTTGTGCCAAGCGTGGGGAGGGAAGGGTGGCCGCCACGCCAAGGCGGTCCTCGGATAACAAATTTCTTTATCTGGCTGGAGCATTTCTCTGGGGAAGGCGGGGGAGGTTGTTATAAGGTTACCCTCAACTGTTGTTAAATAAAGTTGTTTTTTTTTTTTAATATTGCGCTTCAGGAGTATTGCGCAGATAAATCACTCCGGCTTTGCTATGGGGTGGCTCTAAGGCAGTAGCCAAGCTGATCCCATGCGCCCAAAGGGATGTGCCCAGCAATTAGCACGTCCCATTAGCACCCACGACCTGTGCACCGCTCCCATTCCTGCCAAGCAGGACAATATTTCCCCCGTCTGTGTGCAAATAATGCAATTATTCCCATTTCTTTACTCAGCCAGATATGTGGGGCCGGCGTCTCCTCTGGCTGCACACCAAGATTTGTGTCCTTGGAGCAGCACCACGAGTTACACCCGTGGCATCTCCAGGCAAAGCCATGCAAAAAAAAACAGGTTTTGGGGGCTGAGCACCTCCCCAGGCCTTTCCCATTCACAAATTGGTCTCAAATTCATAAAATCCCAGAGAGCAGCCCCAAAGGGCTGTGCACGCAGCAGCTGCGGGGGAGATGGGGACGTTTATCAGCCACCACCAGGCTCCCCAAAACCGAGTGGGCTTTAAGGAAGCCTGGGGTTCAACAGCAGCAGAGCAGTGCTCCGTAAAAAATCCACCTCTTTAAGGCATCTTAAGCAGAACAGGGACTCGAAAAGTGTCACCTCTCGATAAGGGGCTCACGTCCTTGTCCTGAAAAAAATTCGTCCTAGTTGGCACAGCACCGGCACCCCACGCACGCCTTTGGGGTGTCCCCGCGGAGATGGGCGCTTCTCCTTGCTACCTCGGGGAGGCAAATATTTGCAAACAGTTTTTTATTTTTATTTTTAAAATACATATTTATAATATTTGCAAACGGTTCCCTTCAAGGAAGGGAGCAATTTGGAGGCCAGACCCTAAAAAAGCAGCCCGCGGCAGATGGAAGGAAGGCACGGGGAGCCGCGGCGGTTCCTCCCAGGGTTTAAAGTCAGGGTCTCCGAGCAGCCCGCGTGTGTTTTTTGACAGCTTTTGGGTGTTAAAGCAGCCGACAGAAACCTCGTGCAGGGGCTCTGCCACCGGCTCCCGGGGGCCTTCTGGAGCGACAGGGGCAGGTGAGGAATTGTCGGGCGGCGTGGGTGGGATGGCGTGAAGGCAAGAGCTTCCCCGAGACATCTCAAATCAATTAGCAGCATTTAGGAGCTATATTTAACTCCGCTTCTGCAAGCAGGCAGAGCCCTGACTTCTCGTTTTCTCATTAAGGCTGTTTACATGTCTGGAGATTTCGTTCTACCCCCGGAGCTGGAGCAGATAAAGCAAGCACCTGAGCGTTTCGCTACCACGGGGGCAATTGCTAAAGGGTTTATTCGGGGAGACAAAGCCTCAGCAGCCTGGGGAGGGGGAGATCTGGGCTTGGGTCGATGCACTTCCCCACAGAGCTGCTGCTTTGCCAAAACCAGGGTGCAAAATGCGCCCTGCAGGTGCCCCACGGGCTCGCCCTTCTCTTGGAGGGCCGGGGAGCCCCCAGCACCAAAAGCTGGGCTGCTGAGCGCCTCCCCTCCTGCACCTCAAGGCTGCCTGCCTCTTTTTGTGTCCTGGGGGGCTGCCTCTCCCCAAAGGTGTTTTTAATTTGCAGAGAAAGTGTCAGGCTGGCAGCATTGATGGCTGGAATCGATGCAGCAGCC